GATCATGGTTACCCATGGTGGACAGTGTTTGATGGCACTTCCCAATTAAAACAAGCTTGGAAGCAGGAGTGGCATCCACTTCTGAAATGGCTTGCCTCTGGAAACCCTATGAACCTGGAGAAAGCATGAAAGTCATGCAAGTGTTGAGGACCTTTGTTCATAGGGTTGTTATGAGTCTCCTACAACTTGATGGCACTTAACAACAACAACAATGCTTGACAAAGTAGGAGGTCTGCAAAGGAGTGGGAGACTGTTCATGAGGTGGATTGACATGGGGATTGCTCAAATCACAAGATAGTGAAGATAACACTGGCCTGGGCAGTGTTTTCTTCCACAAGTCACCACGGACGTGACGGTAAATTGCAATCCATGCCACCCAACCCCAACCACAGATATACGCAAAGCAATCATGTGCAAACCCTCCACAGACCTTCTCCACGGACAGACTTACCCACCATGAAGTCCATCTCCTCCACGTTGTCCCCGTACAAGCCGTGTTTGCTGACACCCAGGAACTGGGTTGTGGTGGGAAGAGGAGTATGAACGTGGAGGAAGGAGAAAAAGAGCAGGAACGGGTGCTGGCGGTGGCTAAAACACAGAAATTGTGTTGTCTCAAGAGGGTGATGTTTGCAGTTGGAATCAGTCTATCCTTAAGGATGGTGAGATGCACCTTCACGGATCAGATTAAACCTTCCCCAAAGGATTTCTTTATGGAAGTGGGTCACGGCGTCTTTCTTTCTTGGAAGCACGTGGTGAGATCAAATTGTCAATCGTTTGGTTTAAAACTGAGAGCTTTCTTTAGTGCACCATCACTGTCGGGGTGATGGTTCGGTGTCATGGAGTAGAACCTAATTGATCAGAACTCTGTGAAGCACAGATCTGAGCCCTTGTCCTATGCTGGGCCATTCTCACCAGCTCTAACACACTTGAGCTCATTGCTGAAGTCAACTGTGTCAATACACCTGGTTGAGGGTCTTCCTCTCTTTCTCTGAACTTCCATCTTTCTGTACCCCCACCCTTAATATTAAGAGACCCTTAATATTTCAAATATACAATGACAGTGGGTCATAGGGTTGCTACTCGATGGCACTTAAGAACAACAACAAATCCTGCCCTGATACCCATAACCTCAGTCACTGAATCAATCCATCTCATCGAGGGCCTTCCTCTCCTGCGCTGTCCCTCCACCCTCCCAAGCATGATGTCCCTCTTCAAGGACATATCTCTCCTTACAACATGTCCAAAGTTTGTCAGATGAAGCTTCAGAATCTTTACCTCCAAGGAGTAGCCTCATTTCACCCTCTCCAGGATGAATCTGTTTGTTTTCTTGGCAGTCCAGGGTACATTCAATACTCTTCTCCAGCACCACAGCTCAAATGCATCAATTCTTCTCCCCTCCCTAGTCATTGTCCAGCTCTCGGATGTATAGCAAGTCTTTGCTAAGACTTCTCTCTCTTTCTCTCTCTCTCTCTCTCTTCCTCTCTCTCTCTCTCTCTCTCTCT